AACTCCCAGAATTCCTCCTCTCGCTCTTAATCTTGATGATGTGCAGACGGGCAGGGGGAGGGAGGTGGAACAGGTTCTAAATGGCACTGTAGATTTGTGGAACCTCTTCTATAGAAGAGGTTAGAACTGGCAGGAACCCACCACTGGCCATAGATAATGCTCAAAACACCAGAGATTCTCCCAAAGTTTATATGTACCTTATGAAGCACTTATTGTGTTGTAGTTTAGTAGTTTCCTTCATTCCAAGGCTCATTTGGCAACTGATTTTTAAAGAGAGTGAGTGAGCGAGCAAGCTAGCTAGCTAGTTAGTTAGTTAGCTAGCTAGTTAGTTAATCAAACTTATGTAGCTGCCCATACAAATAGTCCTTGACTTAAATTACAGTTGAGTCCCAAATTTCTGTTACTAAGCAAGACAGTTGATAAGTAAGTTACACGCCATTTTACAACCTTTTTGCCACACTTGTTAAGCAAATCACTGCAGTTGTTAAGTGAATCAGGCGGTCATTAAGCAAATCCGGCTTACCCCATTGACTTTGCTTGTTGGAAGCCAGCTGGAAAGGTTACAATTGGTGATCACATGACCCCCAGGCACTGGAACCATCATAACTATATAAAGTGGCCAATTTTGGGCCACTTTATTTTGAATTTTGATCAAGTGACAGTGGGGATGCTGCAATGGTCGTAAGTGTGAAAAATGATCATAAGTCAGTTTTCAGTGCTGTTGTAACTTTAAACTCTAGTTAAAAATGATTGTAAATCGAGGGCTATCTGTATTCTGAACTGTAATCCTGGATGGCTCTCAAAACAATTAAAACCACAAAAAACAGCAACCATCAAAGCATTAAGCAACATTCTCCCCTATGTTGATTTCTTCCTACCCCAATGCTAGTCCTTCAAGGCATTCCGGAAAGCAGGGGAACTGGGTTTCTGCCGGGTCTCTGAAAAAGGGAGTTCCACAGAGCAGAGAAAATTAATGGAGAAGGCACCCTTCCTAGATCCAAGTAGGAAAAATAGCAATAGCAATAGCACTTAGACTTAGATACCACTTTACAGTGCTTTGCAGTTCTCTTTAATCGGTTTACAAAGTCAGCCTATTGCCCCCAACAATTTGGATCCTCATTTTACCCACCTCAGAAGGATGGAAGGCTGAGTCAACCTTGAGCCTGGTGAGATTCAATCTGCCAAATTGCAGTCAGCTGGCAGTCAGCAGAAGTAGCTTGCAGTACTGCACTCTAACTACTGTGTCACCATGACTCAAAAAGTGGGGAAAGAGACCCCCAGAGATCAGTGATAGGAGTTACTGCATCCTTGACTGAGCATCCATGAAGTATGTGCTGCATTCTGGTCTAAAGATGTGTGATGCAACTCCCACGGTAAGCTTGGGTCTGATCATTTCCTAGCTCTTTAAGGAATCTAATACATGCTAGCTTTGTACTGTATGAAAGAAGCAGTAACTCTAATAAATGAAAGACATGTGTATTTCTGTACCAAAGTAAAATTCAGCATATCTAATGAGGTTCTAATGGTTCCTAAGAACTTAAATCTTCTTAGTAGGCATCATGAAGACCTAGATTGTTGGGGCAATATGCTGACTCTGTAAACCACTTAGGGAGGGCTATAAAGCACTGTGAAGCGGTATATAAGTCTTAAGTGCTATTGCTATTCTTTACAAGACCCTTTGGTATGAGACCATACTTATAAACCAGGGGGTCCCAATCGGGGGTGTAAGACGATATTCTAGCGGGTGCAAAAACTTGGGTTTAGAAGTTTCAAAATTATAGCATATATGCATAATTATATGCATATAATTGTTTACTTTTGTAAGGACTGCAAGAATATATCAGAAACGTTCTAGGTTTGTGGGATATAGAAAAGGTTGGGAACCCCTGTTATAAATAGTAAGTCCACCTAAGCTGTTTTCCTTATTCTCCTCTTTCGCATGTGAGCTAATGCCTAATATGCACTGTGGTTTCTGTTTCTGCAGACAACAACTCTCATTGGCCTTCTGAAGACAGCCCGTCTACTGCGTTTAGTGAGGGTTGCCCGCAAACTGGACAGATACTCGGAATATGGTGCGGCTGTCTTGATGCTACTGATGTGCATATTTGCACTCATTGCTCACTGGCTGGCTTGCATTTGGTATGCCATTGGGAATGTTGAAAGGCATTACTTGTCTCGTAAAATCGGTTGGTTGGATTCCCTCGGACAGCAGCTGGGAAAACATTACAATCGGAGTGACGGCAGCTCAGGACCATCCATCAAAGACAAATACGTCACTGCACTTTATTTTACCTTCAGCAGCCTGACCAGTGTAGGATTTGGAAATGTGTCTCCAAATACCAACTCAGAGAAAATCTTTTCTATTTGCGTCATGCTGATTGGCTGTAAGTAAGCAGGCTTTTTTTACATTTTTTTTACTTCCTCACTAATTTACTGATGAATTTCTGAACTGTTTGGCTTGTTAAGTACTTGAAACCTTCAAAAAATTCAAAGAGAGTTTTTGCAAAGTGAAGACTGGGCAAAAGTTCTGTAAGGTATGCACTCTTAAATGTATTTTCACTCCAAGGTTTTGCTACTGTTCATTTCAAACTTCACCTTGCAAAATTATCTGGTTCTAAAAAAAATCTCATTCAAAATTCTGGATGTTTTTCATTCTAAGGTTTCACAGTCATTAGAATTTTAAGACAAATTTACTTCTGCTCCTAAGTCAGTAGCCTATTCTTTTTTATAGTAAAAAATATGAAATTAATATTAGTTATTTATGCACTCTATGGACTATTGAGCTTGAAGGTCCAATCTTGGTAGGGTTGGTTTACAACATATGAAAATGGAAGGTTTGCATCACAACGTATGAAACTGGTTTACTATTGCTTTAAAAAAGATTACTGCTTAAAGAATGTTTCATAAGAATTGATTGCAATCACTTTAGTATTAGAGATGCAACTTTGGAATGTTAATTCATATAGTTTAGACTTGTTCTTTTATTGGTTTGTGTTTTCTAAATTAATCATTGTATATTAAAGAAGAATTGTTCTTCTTGGCTATTTGTAATCTACTGACATGAAGGACTTGGGGCATTTCAAAGGGAAAAATAATATACTGTAGGATGCATTTGCCTAATTACAAAATAATCACAAATTTCTGTACATTAAACCAGGAATCAACGCCTCCAGCACAATTTGAATTCCAGATGAGATTCAGTAGCACTTTTCTTTTTAAAAATTAGCCACTGTTTTCAGGTTATTTATAGTATCTCTTAAGGAACTGTTCACAGAATCATTTTAAAGGTCAACTTGGAATCTTGTGGCACAGTGTTAAATGTATAGACCCTGTTGATCTTTGTATAGCTCAAGTTAATTTAGTAGATATTTAGTTGAATCTATTATTATCAGTGAGTGTGCCAATTTGGTGCAGTGGTAAAGGAATCGGGCTAGAAAGCAGGAGACTGAATTCTAGTCCCATACTAAGCACAAACCCAGTTGGGTAACCTTGGTCCTCAGCCTAGGAAGGAAGCAATGACAAACCACTTCTGAAAACCCTTGTCGAAAAAACAGTAAGGACTTGTGTACCATGTTTTCCCAAAAATAAGACAGGGTCTTATTTTCTTTTGACCCCCGAAATAAGCATTTGGTCTTATTTTCGGGGAGGTCTTATCATCTGGGCCGCGATCAGGAAGAGGAGCTGCCCAGGGGGCATGCACATGCCAGAAAATGAACTTCCTGTTTCTGCAAGTCTTCCGGTTACTGTAGTGTATGCACACACACTGATCAGCTGGCCGGCATGCAGACTCACACCAGAAAATGGAAGACCAGCTCTTCTGGTTTCTGGCACTACCACATGCACAAAGACCAGCTGATTGGTGTGTGCGCATGTGCACCAAAAACCTGGAAGAGGAATAGGCGATGCCACGCGTGCCAGGCAACATGGCTTCGGGTGCCACTTGAGGCACGCATGCCATAGGTTCGTCGTCACGGAACTAGACCCTTTCCAATCACGTTTCAGACTGAAACCTAACACTGAATCAGCATTGGTTGTGGTTGCTGGTGATCTCTGGTAGAGCTGTGATGATAGTGCATCCATTTTTACTCTCTTTGATCTTTCAATACCATCAAGCATGGCATCCTTCGGGACCACCTAGAGGGTTTAGGAGTAGGAGATCTAGTATTATGATGGTTCACCTCCTTCCTCTGTGGTCAAAAGTTATTAATAATAATGTGTAAATACAATGGTAATAACAATAACATTCAATAAGAAATAATTATCATAAAAATATTAACAGAGCCAATAATTAAAACTCCAATGACATAAATATAAGTCACCAATATAAAATTAGTATAAAATATGCAGGATAACCTCTGCCCCTTGTCTTTTCTTAAACTTTTCAAGATTTCAGCTTTAAACAATTTACCAAATGAATTTCACTTATTCCTTATCTTTTTTATAAGACCCTATAGAAGAAAGTAAGACCATTCCTCTGCACTGACATTCCTGGGCCTTTAAGACGTTCTTTGTGAATGGCTCAGATATGTGCAGTGTATTGAAAAACCACTACTCTGCAAAAGTTTATGTTAACTAGGTCTATCTTGGGCATGGCAAGGAGACCTTCTTTGCAGAGGATATCTTCCATCTGTGCCATCCTCCCTTTGAAGTGTTGTTCAAACAAAATCCAGTTTCAAGGACATAAGAAAGAGCAGGGAGCTTGAAGTTACCCATTAACTGTAAGAGTTACATAGCAACACTTAGGTCACCTTGTCATAAGTCTTCCCAAGTGGGAAGTGTTTCATATCTACTGAAACGATTGTAATTTCTATTTTTGCTTTCATATATGCAGTATCTACAGTAGTTATAACTTCTATCCAACCTTGGCTGATCTCGATAAGCTAAGCTGGTTAGAATCGGAAGCAGAGGAACATCAGGAAGTGACAGAGCAGTAGGTTGGAAGGCAATAGCAAATCAGGCCTCTAAATACTTGTAAAGAAAATCTCATGGATGGGTCTACATAGTCACCAGGAGGTAAATTCAAAATGAGAGAATTAGTGTGATGTTGTGATTGAGATGAAGGACTAGGATATAGGGCTTTTCTGCACTTTAGCCTTCAATTCCTTATCTTCCATGTAAATTAACTGAGAAACGATGTTAATAGAAAGTACTTCCATATTTCAGTCCTTTCTTCCCATTTGGCCACAGGGCTGGTCAGGTATTCTGTCCAGACTACAGTTACCACAGCCCAGGGGTGGGCTGCTACGGGTTTGAGAGAACCCATAGCTAACATTATAACTGATTCAGAGAACCTCCAAATACCCCCCTGCACCACCCCTCCCAAGAGTCTCCACATGGCCTTTTTTGGATGTGAGGTAAGTACAAGGCCCATGCGGAGGCTCAGGGAGGGGGGGGAATGGGCCTTCCGGCAGCCTCCGGAGCGCTTCCAGAGCCCAGGGGAGGAAGTTTTCTCCCTCCCAGAGGCTCGAGGAAAGCCTCTGGAGTCTGGGAAAGGTTAAAGCACCCCCCACACCCACTCAGAAACCGCGCAGAGAACTCATTGCTGAAATTTTTGAAACCCACCCCTGCCACAGTTCCTGCTTCTCCTCCTCTCCCTCTCCCTTCCATGCCAGGGAAGTAGTATTACTTACTTTCCCTTATGTGGACAAGCATTTGAGTACTGGTGAAGAAAATATAGCATTTTTTTTACAATCCTTCCTGTTAAAGGAGTTGAAGAAAAAATGTGGAAGAACTCTTAATTTTATCCTGTTCCTTAATTTTAAACTGTTCCTCCCCTTGAGCATAAAATTCCAAAGTCCCGTCCTTTCATAGGAAATAAGCCACCAGCCCAGTAGGAAATGTCTAGCAATGCAGAAACTGAGGGAGTTGAGGGATGCCCAAGAGAGCACACACTAGCCAATTGAAACAGAGGCATTTGTTGTAAGATAGAAGAAAAGGGCCATGTTTGCACCAGTGGTGAGAGAAAAGAGGCAAAGCAAAAAGACATAATGTTTATTTTCCCTAGGAACAGGCTGAAGATTATGTCATTTCCCCTGTCCTTCTAAAATAGTAGGTGGTGACCTTCGCTCTGGGTTAAGCAAGGAAGTCAACTCAGTCCTGAAAAGAATCAAAGCCACATCGACTCTTTTAACCATGAAAACTCTCTGGGTGGCTCTAAGCTAGTCATGATCTTTCAACCCAACCTATTTCAGACTATCATGCAGACATAAAATGAAGAGGGCTCCATTGTATTCTTCTAATGCAGGATGTTGCCACGTCTAGTTATTACTTCTGGCTTTTGTTTCCCTTATCCATCTGATCTGATCCAATCCACCAAGTTGGACACAACTGAATGGACAACTAAATGAAGAAGAAGAAGACATCCTCCTCCTCCTCCTTCTTTTTCTTCTTCCTCCTCTTTCTCCTCCTCCTCCTCCTCTTCTTCCTCTTGCCCTTCCACTTCCTCTCCGTCTCCTGTTTCTCCACCTCCTCCCAAAATCCAACCAAACTTATTCAGTGCTTGGAAATAACAACCTTTTCTCTTGTGTGGAGCCCTTCTTAAACTTCTTAAACTAAGAAATAGGTGGGCATTCTTGGCACTGCAGTCGTCCATCAACATGGATCCTATTAGGAAGGCAAGAACTCATTAAATAAACTGTTTCCTTAATAAAATGTCTTACCATACCCATAAAGGATGAAGGAGAGAACTTCTAAAGCAGGATTTTCTTGTATTATTTTAAACCATTTAAGCATCTATGAGAGAAAAATCAACTTGTAAGATCTGACACCATCAGCTGGCTTTGTGATATCCATGTCACCGGAGGAAGGAAACCATTTGATTTTTTTAAAAAACATTAAATATTAGGAAAAACATCTTAAAAGTAATGCTTTGGGACAGTAAGCAACTCCCAGTCACATTGTGCACACAGATGATGCAAACCACAAGACTTGCTTTGGGAAACCTATTTAAAAAGCATGCAAAATGTTTTTGCTTGGGGACAATAGTTCATTCATTTCAAGAATCCCTGAAAGAGGTACATAAAGACGGCAAGCCAGTACTCTGAATCTCAAAAGCTTTAAAGAGGACACACTATTACAGTCCTATAGTGTCCTTTAGTTCTTCTGTGTATCAACCCTGCTCTACTGGAAAAAATGCAGGAAAAGTAGGGCAGGCTTGGCGTGCTTGATATGTAGCAGAAGACAGCTTGTGTCCTATCTTTGACTTCACTTTATTTTTCTGAATTCCAACCACTATAGATATTGAAGGGGGAAATGTGTACCTGTTGAATAGCTGATTAAGAAATTGTTTCGTTTTGTCTTTAATTCGTCCTTATTCATAAACTCTTTTAGCACCTTTAATCCATCAAGCACTATTAGATAAAGCCTTTTGTGAATTTCCTTGTCA